TCTTTGGCCTGGCTGCTGTGCCCCGACGGTGGCAGCCAGGCGTTGGCTTTTACTTGCTCCTTGCTTTCCTCCTCCCTTTCCCCAACTGCTCCTGCCATCCCTTGCCATTCCTTTCTTTGTGGGCAGACTCTGGCAAAGTGCCCTGGCTGTTGGCAGAGATAACATTTCTTGGCGCTCTTTCCCTCCTTCTTCCGCCCTTCACTGGGATTTGAAACTGCGCGCGCCCGCGCTGTTCCAACTTCCATCGGCTCTGCCGGCGGGAAAGGTGGCTCTGGAATGTCTGGAATGCGCAGTTCCCTCCAACGTTCTCCTTTCCCTTCCCGCCTTTCCAAAGCCCTCGCTTCCTGGCGCGCTCCTATGGACAGCGCGGATTTGGTCAGCTGATCCATAGACTCGGCCCTTGGCCCCCGGGACAGTTCATCTTTAACGGCCGAAGAAAGCCCCTCTTTGAAAAGCATTTCGATGGGTTCCGCCGATAGGTTCCACCCCAATTTATGAATCAACATAGTAAACTCAGTCCAGTACTCACGGACAGATCGGCTCCCCTGTTTGCAAGCCATTAACTGCCTTCGCACCATTCCCTGCTCAATGTCGCTGGAAAACATCAGGTCCATGGCACGAAAAAACTTCCTCGTGTCTTTTAGGATCTCATTATTCACTGCCATCAGGGGTCGAACCCAATCCTTCGCCCCCCCTTCGAGATGGCCAATTACAAAAGCCACTCGCGATTCCTCGTCGGGGAAGTCATCGTACTGCAGGTTGAGAGCGTACTGCATCTCAGTTCTAAAGGCATGATAGTTTCTGGGATCCCCCCCGAATTTCTGCACCAATCCTGGCACCTTTCTGGCGATCGAGGTGGTTTTCTCTTTTCCCTTTTCTGCATCCTGAGCCCTCCTCTCCTCAAGCCTCGCCGTTTGCATGGCAAGCTGGATCTCCAACGCCCTGTACCTTTCTTCCAGGCTTGGACCTCCTCCAGCTGCTCCTGCTCCTCCGGTTCCGGCTGGGTCGCTCATGATGCCGCTGCTTGCACAAGCTGGCTTTCAGAGACTTTCGGATTGCTGTGATGGGATGATGAGCTGCTTGTGCGTAAAATGCAAGTCCCTCAGAGTTTGATCAGGCTTTCAAACCTCTGCCTGTGACGGAGCCCCTCCAGCATGGCTGCGTCAATCGCTAGCAGAATCCGAAAGTGGTTGTTTTCGGAAACGTTTCCAACATAAAAGCTCTTTCACGGAAACACGTCTTCTGGACTCTCTGCGTGACAGTTTCCAGCGAGGAGTGGGTGTCCCTATAGGAGGTCCTGAGACCTCTCCACTGTTTTCGCTGGAAACGTCTCTGAGCCATCCCTCCGACTCACTTTCCCTGGAAGTTCCTGCTCGCCCCCTACTGGTTCCCTCTTCAGCTGCTACGTCTCTTTCAACCTCAGGGAGCCTTTGCACCTCCTGTCCTTCCGATGGCAGTTCCCTGACAGTATGTCACCCCATTAGGTTTGGTAGTTGTGTGTATATAGTAAAGGTAAAGGGACCCCTGACCATTAGGTCCAGTCGTGACCGACTCTGGGGTTGCGGCGCTCATCTCGCTTTATTGGCCGAGGGAGCCGGCGTACAGGTCATGTGGCCAGCATGACTAAGCCGCTTTTGACGAACCAGAGCAGCGCACGGAAACGCCGTTTACCTTCCCGCTGGAGTGGTACCTATTTATCTACTTGCACTTGGACGTGCTTTCGAACTGCTAGGTTGGCAGGAGAGTTGTGAGTATATGCAAATCCACAAAAACCACTAAATGTTCTGGGGGTTTTTTTGGGTCATGATGACCCATGGGTGTTTTTGAGATCACACTTACTTTATTACACTTGCATGTAACAATCTATTACACTGTCAAACATTCTAACCACTCTATAAACTTCTGTTGACTTTAAGCGCCCCACCTGCTTTTAGCCAACAGCCTACTTTGTGCAAGTGAAGCTTGCAGTTACAAAAGCAGATGAGCAGATAAGCAGAGAGCTTGCTTGTTTCTTACTTTTTATTGACCCACATTGTAATATGATTTATTATTTGTCAACTTTGGCTATTGGCTTTCTGTTAGCCCTGCTATTATGGTCATATCACATTTTTCCTACATTAATGATATGGGTTGTTAAAGTCCAAATCCCCTTCTTCTGCTCTATCATTTACATTGGGTGACCTGTTTTAGCATGATGAAAGAAGTATTCCTCTCTCTCTCCTGTCATCAGCGCATTTAAACCTCTTACCACCTCCTCAGATATATTTTGCACTAATCTAAAAAGCCACTTGGCATGTTCTGTTGTCTCACTCCTACAGAAATGCTTGTGATGGATGCAGCAAATGAGGCCTGTGGTACAAGCTGCAAGGGAATCCTGCCCACAAATCCCAACACAGCACTTGGGCTCAAATGGGCTCCCAGCCTTCCTAACACTGTAGGCCCCTCCAACCCGCGATATCAAAGCAGGGGCCTCTCAAGGATTGTTGCTGCCACGTCCTGCAACAGCTATTGCTGAATTTAAAAACAGTAAGACCTCGTATAAGATTCAAACTCCTTACAGATGGAGGGTGGGAGTGGCCTCCCTGATTTGAATATCTACTTTGAGGCCTCCTGCCTCTGTTGGATTAAGAAGTGGATTCGGCTTGAGAATACCGATATATTAGACCTTGAGGGGCATGACATAAGATATGGATGGCACGCTTACTTATTGGAAGACAAGACAAAAGTACATCAGGGTTTTATTAACCATATTATCAGGAATCCATTAATTAAGGTCTGGAGGAAATATCATAGGCTTCTGGAACCCAAAACCCCATGGTGGGGTTTGATATACTTTCATTCAAAAAGAAAAATATGGGTAAAATTGGAGCAACATATAGACAATTGATAATAGAAGAAGGAGGAGGACAGTTAAAACTTAAACCGTATGAAGATTAAAAGTATACTGCACTAGCTGGCTTCAGTACTACCAACTAAACAATAAATTTGCTCATGATAAGAAAATTGGCTTCTTGAAGGAAGACTCTAAATTCCTATCAGAAATTCTACAAAACACAAAGAAAAACCTTTCTAAAATGTATAATTTTTTACTTGAGTGGGAATTAAAAGATGAACAAACAAAAGAATTTATGATAAAATGGGGACAAGATTTGGGCTATGCAATTTGGTTTGAGAGGTGGGAAAAGTTATGGAAAAATGATACAAATGTTTCTGCATGTGCTATTATTAAAGAAATATCATGAAGATGTGTTATAGGTGGTACATAACCCCGGTTAAATTGGCAAAAATTTATAAATTACCTTCAAATCTATGCTGGAGATGTAAATCAGGTCCTCCCTTAAAGAGGGCACGTGTTGCAGTGGGACCTGGCAACCAAACCCTGTGTTGTGGGTGGGTAAGATTGGATAACCACAACACCCAGTTGATAGGTCCCTTGATGCAGGGTTCAATCAGGCCAATGGGATGCTGGCTAAACGGATCAAGGGACCTCCTCTTTGGAATGTAAGCTGCCTCCTTGATGAATCCAAAAATATGATCTGCTATTTTTCTCCACTTGCCTCTCCCCGTCCGCAACTCCTAGTACTTGCTGTTGGTCCTCCAGTCAAATGTGCTTTGATGCAGCAGACTTTGAGGGAGTGGTCTGTGTGTTGCCTGCTCCTCGAAAGAGCAAGAGGAAAGATGGAAGGATGGGGAATCATTTTCCCCCGATAAGATTTTATTGAGACCTTTATTAATACATTACAATAAAAAACAGACTAAACAAAAGGGAAAAAAGGTATGGCAGGGGACATGGAGGTGTGTTGTTTTCCTGGGTTGGCATGACACCAAATTGGCCTCGCACCTGCCTGGGAAGTGGCCATATCTGGGGCAGTGGAAGTTTATGGCCTCACTGGGCTTTCATACCAATACTGGGTCTGCATGTCTGGGTGTGTGTGTGTGTGCATGCCATTTGGGTATTTGACTCAGGGGAAATAAAGCTTTGTTTCGACATTGCTGGACATGGATCTTCTATATTTTAAGCCGTTAAATAAAAATCACTGCTGTGTCTTGTAAGATTACACACCAAGTGGTTCACTGCTGTATCTGACAGTACCCTGAGTGTATACCACCGAGGTGCCCTCCAGGCTAACCTCCTCCTTTGATGTAACTAAGGGCGGATCTACACACACAGTTTTTAACGTAAAGGGTTAAGAAATAGTTTTGATAATTATAGATGGACACACAACTTTTTACATTCATAATGTGTTACTACTTTATTTTTTAATCACTTAATTTTTAATTGTTTTATGCTGATATGTTTGTGAAATACTGCTCACATGTCCCTATGTAATGTTTTACTTTTCTTTTTTTTCTGCGTCCAAACTCTGTTCCCCACCCACAATGATGTTCAAGGGGGAGTAACAAAGGACACAGAGGGAGGGAGGGAGGAGAGAGAATTAAAATGTGACACCAGGGGGTGGAACACAGCAACCAGCAACCATCATCAGAGAAAGAAACAGCATTTTGGAAAATGGTGTGGCCAAGTACAGTGGTACCTCTGGCTACGAACTTACGGTAATTTGTTCTGGAGGTCCGTTCTTAACCTGAAACTGTTCTTAACCTGAAGCACCAGTATAGCTAATGGGGCCTCCCGCTGCCGCCGCACGATTTCTGTTCTCATACTGAGGTAAAGTTCTAAACCCGAGGTATTGCTTCCGGGTTAGCAGAGTCTGTAACCCAAAGTGTTTGTAACCCGAGGTGATTGTAACTCGAGGGACCACTGTATTACTAACATTTGATGAAAAAAACCAAGGTAAAAAACCAAGGTATGACCCACAATATTTTATAATGACATATCAAATATCATTTGATATTTATTCAAGTGAATGAGGGAGAAATGAGGATATGATTCTTCCTCTTTTGTGGGAGGATATTTTTTCCTCATTGTAACAATCCTGAAGTAAAAAGAAAAACTCTGATCCAAAGTTTTACTCAGTCTAATTTATTAAAATCATTCATTTCTATAAACCTTTTAAGAACTGTATTACACTCTGCAAACATTTCTGTGTGCTCGGATATTCAAGGATCCGCCCCCAACCAGCAAAGGTCATTATTCCATGGAATCCATCTTGAACATGATACCATGTCACTGGCACACCGTGGTCCTCTAGCCGCTTCTTGTACAACAGCCCATCATCCCGGAGAACATCATATTCACAGGTTAGAATGAAAGTCTCTGGGAGCTGGCGGATTATGTCATCCTCTGCGTGAAGGGGGGCAAACATTGTCTCACCAGCTCTTTTAACTTGTTCATAAAGTTCTTCTGAAAATGGAGCTGGTGCTACAGGAACATAGCCCCTAGCTTTAAATTCTTCTGGAATGTTATCAGCATTGATCCATTTTTGGTATTTCTCTCTCAAATCAGGAGGGACATGGGCGCCTTTCAGAATTCCATCTACATTCATTGTCTTCCCAGTGAGATATGTCAAACCAAGTACGACACCTCTTTTCCGGAACAAGGGAGGAATTGAATGGTTTTGTTGATAGGATGGCAAATTGAAGTCCATTCCTTGGAGGAATGGGTAAATGAGGACCTGAGCTCGCACTCTTGGGAGGTCCTCTCTGGTCACCAGTTCTTGACAAATGGCTGTAGCATATGTGCCTCCACTACTCTCCCCAGCAAAGGCAATGCGGCTGGGGTCCACTCCGTATTCCTCTGCATTCTTCAGAAAGTGTATTGCAGCAGTACAGCAGTCCTGTACTGCGGTTGGAAATGGATACTCAGGACCTAAACGAAATCTAAAGAGAAAGCAAGATATCTTCAATATTCAGCAACACAAACAAGGAATATTTTCCTGCATGACATATTGCAAGGGTTGGGAATCTTTCTCACCCTGAGGGCCACTTTCCATTCTATGTAACCTTCCAGGGGGCAACATGCCAACTGTGGATGGGACAAGAGGCAAAAATGGAAAGCAAATGTGAACTTTCCCATTTGAGAAGTGGGCTGGTTCCCGATTCCTCCACCCAAGCAAGCAAGGCAGGCAGATGCCACTCAAGGATAGTGCAAAAGAGGGGCAACGGTGTGGGGCGGGGGGTTGGGGTGAGTTCACTGGGAGAAATGGAGAGGCCTGGAGTGCAGCATCCAGCCAATGTGCTTGAGGTTCTGAACCCAGATAAACTGCTAGTTGAGCATCCCGTTCTCAGTGGCCACTGGTCAATCATTGGAGAAACTCACAATCAGGACATGAGTACAGTGGTACTTTCCCCTCCCACAGTTTCCAGCAACTGTTCTTCAGAAGGACACTGCCTCCAACTGCAGAGGCAGACTATTGCCATCATGGCTAGTAGCCACTCGTAGCCTTATACTGTGTGCATTTGTTTAACCCTCTTTTAAAGCCTTACTTTCTTTTATCTGAATTTTCCAGCATTCAGCTTCATTGAATGTCCACATGTTCTAGAGTTAAGAGAGAGGGATATCCCCTGGCCGCTTTCTCCGTGCCATTAAAACGCTTCTCTATTTTGGATGCTTCCTTGATTTCATTTTCCATCTCAGGATCTCCCTGAGCGTTTTGATCAGGAGTGTGGCGTTTGCCTCCTAGGTGGATCATAAGGAAAGGGTTAAATGTGTGTGAAGTGATTGGCCAGTGGGAACTCGAGGGGAGGAGTAAACGTTAGAGTCGGAGGTGTGTGGAAGTCAGTTGGTTGTTGAGAGTTGGGAGTTGGAGAAGGAAGAGGGAGGATAAGTCTGTGGGTCGGTCGAGTTGTGTGAGAGAGTGAGAGGAACTGTTAGGTGGAGTCAGATAGTGGGATAATGAGTTTGAAGTTGTTAGTTGTTCATGCCTATAAAATAAACTCGATTATTTGTTAATGTTAACAACTGTCTGGACTCCGTGTGTACCCGAGAGAAACGGGTTGGTGGCAGCGAAGAGGCAATCACAGTGGTGGCACAGGGATCAATAGACCGTCAAACGTCTGGGGACCCTGTGTGATTGCCACAAGGAGGATGGGAACACAACCCCAGTACGAAATCCCTCTTGGGACCCAGTATGACCACCCACAATGATTATGTGGAGAAGTCTGCCTCTTCTGGGATTTCTTGCTTCCTGGACTCAATGCCCTTTTTTCACCTGCAGGGTGACACCTTGCCTTCCTGAGATAACTGTGTGCCACTGGTTCTCTCCATTCCACCAGGCTTTTCTTTCTGCCCACCATATCCCTTATGGCCTCTTAAACCAATAAGTCGAGTTCACCCATCTTGACCAGGAGGCTTCAGATCATGCACCAACGGTGCATTAAGGCAGCAAGGGCGGAGAGATGGTGGCCATTACTGTGGGGAAGGCTTGCGTTGTTAAGGGCTCTGAAGTTCTGGCAAATGACACTTCTCCCAATTTACCACTGCTTTCTTGGGAAGGTAAGTGTGTCTGATGTGGTGGTTTCTGCAAATGAAGTTTAATGTTTGTTGTGTGCTGCCTTGGAAGGAGTTGTGTCCTGAAAGGCAGGATATAGAGAATTGTGATAGATAAAATGGGGATGGATTTAGAAGCAATACCATCCTCTCATGGAGGATAAGGTTTTCCATGGGTACTGCAACACTACAGAGCTGCCGGAACACACCAAAAAGGTGCCAGAACGCAACAAAGAAGTGAGTTCTGGTGAGTTCCGGCTGAAAACACCCCCCCCGCTAGTCACAAGGGGGGGGTGCCCCCTCCACTATCACAGGCAGTCATGCTTCTGAATACCGGTTGATGTAAATTGCAACTGGGGTTAGTGGTCTAGTGCTCGGGTCCTGTTTGTAGGCTTCTCATTGACAACCTGGCTAGCCATCATGACAATCACATGTTGAGCTCTTTGGGCCTGCTCCAGCAGAGATGCTCAAAGCCAGAGGGATTGGGGCCCAAGGTATGAAAATCTAAATGCAAAGGTATTATAACGGTTGGCAAAATCACTATGTTAAAACTTTATCAGGCTTTCTCTGAGCTCAGGTGTTAGGAAGAGTTAGAAGCTGTGGAGAATTACTCTTTTTTCTGCTACAACAAGAGTGAAGATACTTACTCAGGACACATAACCACTGAGTCAGTTTGGTGGGCAATGGCACGGCAGATCCTTTCAGTGGTTCCTGGAAAAAAAGAACAAAACACACACAGAGACACTATCAGAGATTATTTGATAGGCTCCATTACAAAACCTCTTAGCCATGGGTAGGCAAACTAAGGCCCAGGGGCTGGATCTGGCTCAATCACTTTCTAAATCCGGCCCGCAGATGGTTCGGGAATCAGCATGTTTTTACATGAGTAGAATGTGTGCTTTTATTTAAAATGCATCTCTGGGTTATTTGTGGGGCATAGGAATTCATTCATATTTCCCCCCCAAAATCTAGTCTGGCCCCCACAAGGTCTGAGGGACAGTGGACCGGTCCCCTGCTGAAAAGGTTTGCTGACCCCTGCTCTTAGCAATTGACATTGAATTCACTATGAGTTGGATCCAGTGTTAGTCCTACTATAAGTAAACTTGGTGAAATTAACAGCTATGATTAATTCTGGTCTGCTATTTTTTTTATTAAAAAAAACTTGATTGTAGAAAACAACAAGCACCTTTAATGGGTTTCCTCTGAGAAAAACTAAGTTGGACTGAACCGTTGATAAATGGGGCATCGCCAGCTGAAAACCATTATGTGGATTTTGTTCTCTCCTGATCAGTAGCTCAGATCAAGCAGTGTAAATGGGTAAAAATTAGAACAGAACCAGACCGACCTCAACCCACATTCCTGAGCTTCTTTCTGCATTATTTCTGACCTTCTCTGGAAGACTTTTCATAGAAGTCCCTTGGCGCATGAAGCAAAAACGCCTTCTATGAAAATTTAAAGGTTTTTCATTGGCCACGACGCTAGGATTACCACAGAACTGGTCACCCATACAACGGGAAGCCTCAGCCTCATTTTTAATTTTTATTTTTTACAATCCCATCCTGCCAAGTTCATTGAACTTACACTACCTACTGTTCAGAAACTGCAGCTGATGCAGAATTCAGCAGCCAGTTTGCTCACGGCGGCAAGACAGTTTGAGCATATAATGAAAATGCCTGCCCAACTACATTGGCTGCCAATTTGTTTCTGGGCCCAATCCAAAGTACAGGTTTTGACCTATAAAGCCTGAAATGGCTCAGGACTACAATCGCCAACTGGCTTTGACTCCAGTGCTGCACTGCTGTGGAGAACAAGCCCTGCTTGAGATGACCATGCTGTAAGATCTGGGCTCCCTCCATGCAGACTGACGGTGTAAATATGTGAATAAGGCAGTTTCCTCCATATCTTCAGTTCTCAAAAGGAGCACTAACCCTGGGTGAGTGGACTAGGAGCCAACACCTAAGGCCTGTGGTCCCTTTGCCCCCCCCAAAATATTTTAGGGGAGCCAGTCCTCCCAAAATTGATGGGTATTGCCATTCCAATAGTGTGTGTGCACTACACCATGTGATCAATATGCAGGGCAGGGCTTACTTGACACCCCCCCCGCAATATTTTATTCAAATGATACGAGGGCAGCACAAACCACCTCCACCCCTCCATAGCAAACATTTCAAGAACTTTACATTACAGTAGCGCCCCAAATTCTCCTCAAAGAACATAGTGAACCATTTCAAAAACAATTCACAGAACTTACGGACGCTTCCAAATAATGCACAGCCTCCATGAAAAAAGATGATTCCTCTCCTTTTCCCAGCAGGTGATGTTTTAGGCCAGTACACCCTCCCTGGCACTCCATCAAAATCCAGATCCTTTATGATCAGCTTTGGGTCCCTCATTACTGGAATGAACAGGCACGCGGCTCTGAGTAAGGCAAATCTATGGCAGATGCCCAGTTTTTCCAGAATTCCTGCCTGTTTGAACCAAAACATTTACCATTGATAATTAGCATCAAATCTTTTTCATATATATAGAGGGGGGGAGGGGAGTATTTGATCCCCCTGCTAAATTTGCCCGTTTGCCCTCTGATGAAGAAATGACCAGTCCATAATCTCTGACTTTTGTCTTCTGGGTTTCTGGGGGTTTTCCTGTTGTTATTCTGTCTCTCACAGCTACAATAAACCTACCATTAAAATTATGGACTGGTCATTTCTTCGTCAGAGGGCAAACGGGCAAATTTAGCAGGGGATCAAATACTTTCCCCCCTCACTCTGTGTGTGTGTGTGTGCGTGTGTGTGTATGAAACATATGTCTATTACCTGTGGAATGGAATCCCCGCATGTGAGGTGACTACACTGCATACTGTTTTTTGTTGCATCAATTAAGTGTTTTAAATTTGTTGTTAGCCACCCTGAGCCCGGTTTTCTGAACAGGGAAGGGCGGGGTTCAAATAATAAGAAAATTATTATTATTATTATTATTATTATTATTATTATTATTATTATTATTATATCTTTTCCTTCCTCTTTGGATGGAGAGTGATTCTTCCTGAGCAGCACAGAAGTGAAGCCCCTGACCATTCCACTTCCTTGTATGCTTTCTTGATGGACACCATGAGAAACCACACTAAGTGGGTGGTGTTCGGTGCTAGTCCTCCTCAGAATAAATCCACCTAAGTGGATATGAATAGAGCCTGCTGGATTAGGGCAATGTCCTATCTAGTCCAGCATCTCACAGTGGCCATTCAGGTGCCCCAATGGGAAACCCGCAAGCAGAAGCTGAACACAAGAGCCTTCTCCCTTCCTGTGTTTTCCAGGTTCAGAGCCTAGCCATGGAGGCTAGTCGCCACCCAATACCTTCTCTTCCATGAATTTATCTAATCCTTTTTGGAAGCTATTCAATTTGGCAGCCATCACTGCCTCCTGTGTGAGAGAGCTCCATAGTTTGAATATGTCAGGTGTGAAGAAGTACTTCCTTCTATCTGTCCTGAATCCTCCAACATTCAACTCCAGTGGATTCTCCACAACTTCTAGTGTCAAGAGAGAAGGGGGCGGGACTTTTCTCTATCCAATTTCTCCCTGTCTTGCATAATATTATCATGTCACCTCTTAATTGCCTATCTGAAGAATATTCGAGAAATATTACTAACATTGCACCCCTTTTTATAGGGGTGTAACTTCATCAGCGGTTGGCGCTGTGGTTTAAACCACCATGCCGCATGGACTTGTTAATCGGAAGGTCGGCGGTTCGAGGCCCTGCGACGGGGTGAGCTCCTGTTGTTCGGTCCCATCTCCTGCCTACCTAGCAGTTCTCAAAAGCATGTTAAAGTGCAAGTAGATAAATAGGTACCGCTCCGGCAGGAAGGTAAATGGCATTTCTGTGCACTGCCCTGGCTTTGCCAGAAGTGGCTTAGTCATGCTGGCCACATGACCCAGAAAAACTGTCTGTGGACAAATGCTGGCTCCCTCGGCCTGTAAAGTGAGATGAGCACCGCAGCCCCAGAGTCGTTTGCGACTTAACTGTCCTGACAGTTAACTGACTTAACTGTTAGGGGTCCCTTTACCTTTACCTAACTTCATCCCTGTGATATATGTAAAAAAACCTTACCAGCATAAGTCCATATCCTAGAGAGAAATCGAAAAGTAGTAACTTTCCACGACAGCTGATTCCTCGAGGCAGCTGCATCCTGATAAGGCGATAATAAGCTCCCCATGCAAACAGCAAGAAATGAATGAAAATGGTCATGTATAATATCAGTGTCCACAGACTTCCACCAAATGCCATTTCTCTCAGAGGCACAGACATAAGGACGTCACCTTAGCTAATGCCCCTGGCTTTTATAGGACAACATTTGATGTTATGTGCAAGAGAACATTGTCAGCCAACCCACTTAAATCCTAATTGAGAATAGTTAAGAACTGAGTATCACTGGGTGTGGGTGTATATTAATTGGTGTGAATTTGCCCAACCTCTCCTCCCGAGGGAGCTGTTTTGCTTCAAGGCAATACCTAACTGCTGTCATCCTGCATTCACAGCAGTCCAGCATCTTGTTTAAAAGATCAGAGTACAGTATTGTGCTGCAGTGACTTATATAAACGAGACAAACATTTTATCATGCTTGGTGGACATGTAAAAAAGTTAATAAAAAAAATTGGATACAAATGCATGCATTGATGTGGAGAATTATGAAGATTAAGTTCCAGCTGAAACCAGAACTCTTCCTGCTTGGACTTAGGGATATACAATTAGAAAATAACTATTTTTTCAATATATGATTATGGCAGGAGACTATTGTATGCACAAAGATGGAATGACACATGACTGAGTCTTCTCATGGAAGAATGGTTGTTAAAATTAACAGACTTAGCCGAGATGGCAAAATTGACATGTTTAATCAGAGAGAGGTCATTGTTAACATTTACTAAAGATCGGAATACTCTCATAGACTTTTTGCATGAAAAAGAAAATGAAAGAATGACATATGGATTTGGAGATTGAAGGTAATACTCGGTTATAGAACGTGGTTTTGTTGGGTGACATATTGCCATGAATGAAGTACCTATAGTTTATATACAGTATAGTGGACAGATGAAGACTTGGAAGTTTTTAAATTTCTGTATTTTATCTTTTCTGTTTTCTTTTTTAAGTTCTTTTCTATCTCTTTCTTCTTATCATTTTTTCTCATTCCCCCCCTTCCTTTCTTTTCTCCTCCTTTCCTTTTCCGTTTCCTATTTTCTCTCTTTTTATTTTATTTAGGTTAATGTTGGATAAAAAAGATATTTGGTCTTAAGTTTTGTATCTTTTTTTATAAACTCTAATAAAATTTATTCTTAAAAAAGGGAGCTCTCTGCTGTCTGTGACAGAACCACTGACCAAGGGTTCAGAATGCTTGTTTCCCCTTCATCTCTCAACCACCTCCTGGTTAACATCTAGAGCATCTATGCTCCCACTATGTGCTCTGACATAGAGACCAAGGACCAGTTCTGTGAGGTGCTAGACCACGCTATCGTGATGTTCCCAGCCTGCAAACACCTATTCCTGCTGGGAGATTTCAGTGCTGGAGTTTGGGGTGATCATCACACAGGGGGCAATTGCATAGGTGACTTTGGTATAAAGGTAAAGGTAAAGGTACCCCTGCCCATACGGGCCAGTCTTGACAGACTCTAGGGTTGTGCGCCCATCTCACTCAAGAGGCCGGGGGCCAGCGCTGTCCGCAGACACTTCCGGGTCACGTGGCCAGCGTGACATCGCTGCTCTGGCGAGCCAGAGCCGCACACTGAAACGCCGTTTACCTTCCCGCTAGTAAGCGGTCCCTATTTATCTACTTGCACCCGGGGGTGCTTTCGAACTGCTAGGTTGGCAGGCGCTGGGACCGAGCAGCGGGAGCGCACCCTGCCGCGGGGATTCGAACCGCCAACCTTTCGATCGGCAAGCTCTAGGCACTGAGGCTTTTACCCACAGTGCCACCCGCGTCCCGTGACTTTGGTATAGGTAGCATGAATGAGAATGGACAAAAGCTGCTTGAGGTGTGCTTGCATCACAGCCCCTGCATCACAAACACCCCCCTGGACAGGACAGAATCCCAACAAAAATGTTGAAAATACGCCTCAACTCCTCTCTCATGACGCACCTCCATGGCCTTCTCTTGCAGTGTTGGGAAACAGGATCTGTGCCACAAGACATGCACAATTCCAGCATTGTGACCCTCTACAACAGTGATGGCCAAACTTGGCCCTCCAGCTGTTTTGGGACTACAGTTCCCATCATCCCTGACTACTGGTCCTGTTACCTAGGGATGATGAGAGTTGTAGTCCCAAAACAGCTGGAGGGCCAAGTTTGGCCATCACTGCTCTACAAGATCAAAGGTGACCACCTGTCAGGGACCGTGTTGAGGAGGGCTGCACGGAGGAGGAATGGTGGGAGTCACCCCCTCCCCCTGATCCTGAATCTTTCCAGGAGCAGGAGGACAGTATAGATTTGGAACAGTGGTTTGCAGAGGGACATAGTTCAGAAAGCAGAAGCTGGGAAATACTGAATGGGGAACAGCCAGGAGAAGAAACACTGGAAGATTAATAGGGATGGAGGCGGTTAACAGATTCACAGACGTTGGACAGCATTCCTCCGCCCAGCCCAAGGTCAATAAAAGCTCAGAACGTCTCAGAACAGAAAGCACAACATGTACAAGAGCAGATTATAAGATGTAGGAGTGACACAGAATATTACTTCCGGCTTGGTTCTATGGAAGACGGCTAGAAATTTCATCACAGCCGTACGCACAAGATATCAGAGGCTGAGATGGGAGTAATTAGCCTCCCTACTCCCCCAGGGTCGGGGGTGGCAGTCTCATCCGCCGTTTGTCCAACACCTGGCCCCAAGTTTGGAACGAATGAGGGGGCATGGGGCACTGGATGGAAAGCACTGTGCGTTTCTTGACAACTCTCCAAAGTCATCTCTTAAAATGAAAAATTGGATTTAAGTTTTGGACATGCTCTGAGTGAGGAGGGAGAAACAGTGATTCATCTGACGGTCACCTCCAGGCTTGACTACTGTAATTCGCTCTACGCGGGGCTGCCCTTGAAGCTGTCCCAGAAACTCCAGCGGGTGCAGAATGCTGCAGCAAGGCTCCTCACGGGGTCTCTGCCATGGGAGCATATTCACCCAGTGCTTTTCCAGCTGCACTGGCTCCCGGTGGAGTACAGGGTCAGATTTAAGGTGCTGGTTTTGACCTTTAAAGCCCTTCACGGCTTAGGACCCTCATACCTACGGGACCGCCTCTCCCGGTATGCCCCACGGAGGACCTTAAGGTCCATAAATAGCAACACCCTAGAGGTCCCAGGCCTTAAGGAAGTCAGATTAGCCCCAATCAGAGCCAGGGCCTTTTCAACACTGGCTGGTGGAACGCTCTGTCTCATGACACCAGGGCCCTGCAGGATCTCATTTCTTTCCGCAGGGCCTGTAAGCCAGAGTTGTTCTGCCTGGCCTTTGCCTTGGAATCAATTTGATTCCCTCCCCCTCTTTCTTTTTTCCTTTCTCCTCCTGTGATGAGGCTGCATTTTAATCTTTTAATCTTTTAATGTTGTACTTTAATCTTTTTTTTAAGTTGTATTTCAATCAACTTGTTTTTATTATAGGTTGTTAGCCACCCTGAGCCCGGTCTTGGCTGAGGAGGGTGGGGTAATAACAATAACAATAACAATAATAATTATTATTATTACTCTGCTAATTAATTCAGCCACTGAGGTGCTAAAAAGGATTTGAGTGGAAGAAGGATTATCATCTGTGTGGAGCGGGTTTGTCAGAATGGAAAGGGGGGCGAGGCTTTTTTGTTTCACTTTCAAATTTTGCTTTCTATATTACTTGGTAAAATCCCCTCTGGAAAGACCAACTACCTGATTATTATGTGTTACGGAAATTACGGGGGGGGGCACATCTTTAAAGTTAAATATTACAAATATTATGCCTGAATATATCCTTCCAACTTGACAGCTCAGAGAAGTCACCTAGCTTTAAAAAATAATATAAAATCATCTCCTTTCCCAGTTCCCCCCATTCCAAAGCTATTTTCCCCTTGCAAAAGGACTCCAGGAAGTTTTCAGAGGTGACAATTGCTGGGCTCATTGTTAGCTAAAGGAAGCCAAATCTCATCACCTGACTCGCCACAGGCTCCAGACATGCAAAGGAACTTCTATTGTACTTTTGGGTGGTGGGTACTTAAGACATATTTGTCTATGCTAATCTTATACCTGAGTCTTGCCCTGCCATGTCTGCTTATGCTAATCTTGTACCAAGGACTTGTCTGACATGTTTGCCAAGGTTAACCCCTCCCCTTCGAACTGTATTCTGGGATGTGGTGGGAAAGTTTTAAAAGTCTTTGTCACCCCATTTGCTCTTTGAACCTATTGCGCAATAAACTTTGGTCTACAGCTATTTGCTCCGGTTGACTGGACTCCTTCCGCAGGGACCCGCGGGCTCTGCCCGACGAGCTGGGTGATTGAGCAGCCTCACACTCAGATTTTTCCTTAACATTATGTAAGCAAATGAGACTGGGAAAGTTTGGCATTTGTCGATATAATATGGTTCTAACAATTATTAACTGTGTGGAAATGGTTTTACAATGAAAATTAAGACTTCTGGCTTGCTTGGAAGAGGATGAAATATTCCTCGGTTTGATTTACTTATCACCACAGAAGCAACATCTCATTAACAACTGGAGAGACGTCAAAGAATGCTGGATGTTTGCCCAGGATTTATGGCTGAGAGATGCAACACAGTTCTAAATCAGCAAGCGGCCACGAACAGAAGTTGGGTCTGACCAGCTTGTTGAATCAAATTAGATAGCCATAGGGGAAGGTAAGACTTTAAAATTCTATTTCTTGATATTTGTACTTCCAGGTTTACCTGGCGATACCTTCTCTGGAAAGGCTAAATGTTTGAATGACATCTGGTCTGGGAGAAGTGCTGGGCAGAAGCTCCGGAGGTGATCGAGGACCCATTGCCTGCAGGTGCTCCACTCTCAGCCCCGTCAGGGGATGGTGAGGTTGCCTCTGGATCCAGTAACCCTCCAGCCTCTCCTGAGCTGCAGAGGCTCAGGGCAGAGAGGCGGAGGGAACTAAGTTCTTGCAAGAGGAATGCTCGCCTCCAGGCCAGGAGAGGCGAGTCACCTGTGGACCGGGACCACCCTATGCCTCGGGGCAGATAAAAGCTGGCCAGCCCCAGTCCCAGGTTGCGGGAGCAACATTGTTGCTAGCCTGTTCCTGCCTGCACCCTGTCCTGCTCTTCTGCCAGAGTTCCTGACCACACCTGACTCCTTGCCTTGGACCCCGCTTCAGCCTTGATGGACAGCCTCCATACCACACCCTCGACCTCGGACTGGACTCGGACCACGCCGCATGGTAACCCCCTGGGACCAGCACAAATATTTTGCTGTAAATCCATCTGGTCCTGGTGCCTTTCCGCTTTTCAATTCTTTTATTGCAGCTTTAATTTCTTCTGTTTCATTTAGGTCATTCATTCAGCCTTTCTTTTCTGTCAGTATTTGTTGCACCCCTTTTCATCTCAAGAAATCTTCTATCTTCTTTACATCATCTTTCCCAGCTTTCTTATATAATTGTCTATAAAAATTCACAAATCCTTTCCTAATTTCTTTCGGATTATCTATTTCTTTTCCTTCCACGATAATTTTGTTAATAGTGTTCTGTTCTAACAAATTAGACAGTAAAACTTTGGATTTTAACAAATTAGAAAGTAAAACTTTGGAACTAAGTTTTTCTTTTTACTTTAGGATTGGCACAATGAGGAATTTCCCTCCACAGAAGTGGAAGACTGCCATTTCTATAAATTTCCCTCCACAGAAGTGGAAGACTGCCATTTCTATAAACATTTTAAGAACTCTACTACATGCTGCATACATTTCTGTGTGCTCGGGAATTCAAGTGGCCCCCAACCAACAAGGCCCAATATTCCATGTAATCCATCTGGAAGATGGTGATATGTCACTGGCACACCGTTGTCCTCTAAGCGCTTCTTGTACAACAGCCCATCATCCCGGAGAACATCATATTCACAGGTTAGAATGAAAGTCTCTGGGAGCTGGCGGATTATGTCATCCTCTGCTACAAGGGGGCAAAACATTGTCTCATTACCTCTTTTAACTTGTTCATAAAGATCTTCTGAAAATGGAGCAGGTTCTACAGGAACATAGCCCCTAGCTTTAAATTCTTCTGGAATGTAATCAGCACTTATCCATTTTTTGTATTTCTCTCTCAAATCAGGAGGGACATGGGCGCCTTTCAGAACTCCATCTACATTCATTGTCTTCCCAGTGAGATATGTCAAACCAAGTATGACAGCTCTTTTCCGGAACAAGGGAGGAACTGAATGATATTGCTGATAGGATGGCAAATTGAAGTCCATTCCTTGGAGGAATGGGTAAATGAGGACCTGAGCTCGCATTCTTGGGAGGTCTTCTCTGGTCACCAGTTCTTGACAAATGGCTGCAGCATATGTGCCTCCACTACTCTCCCCAACAATGGCAATGGAGTTGGGGTCCACTCCGTATTCCTTTGCATTCTTCAGAAAGTGTATTACAGCAGTTAAGCAGTCCAGTACAGGGACTGGATAGGGATGCTCAGGAGCTAAACGAAACCTAAAGAGAAAATAAGGTACCATCAACATTCGACATTTTCCTGGATCGCATTTGGCATTTCCCCTTGAATTGGAAATCCTTTTCACCCCTAGGGCCACATTCCTTTCTGTGAAACATTCTGGGCCCCAGAGACCAAAATGGAAAGCAAATGCTAACTTTCCCACTGGACAAGTAGGCTGGCTCCTGCACACAGCCACACATTCCAGCCAGGCAGATGCCACTCAAGGAGGGTGCAAAAGAGGGGCAATGGTGGAGGGTCTGGGGTGAGTACAGAGAGGGAAATGGAGAGGCCTGGAGTGCAGCATTCAGCCTCTGTGCCTGAAGTTTTCCACCTGAATATGCTAGTTCAGCATCCCATTCTCAGTGGCCAGGGGTCAATCATTGGAGAAACTCCCCAAGCAGGACATGAGTACAAGAGCCCTCTTCCCTCCTGCAATTTCCAGCAAGTCTTATTCTGACCATACGGACAGACTATAGCCATCATGGCTAGAAGCCACTGGTAGCCTTAAACTCTTAAATTTGCTTAAACCTTTCTGAAAGTCATCCAAGTGGGAGGTTATCCCTGCCTCCTGTAAGAGTGAGTTCTATAGCTTAACTTTGAACTCTTTGAAGGAGTACTTTCTTTTATCTGAAACTTCCAGCTTTCCACATGTTCCAGTGTTATGAGAGAGCAATAAAAAAACTTTGCCCTAGCCCAGCCATAGGCAAACTCGGCCCTCCAGATGTTTTGGGACTACAATTCCCATCATCCCTGACCACTGGTCCTGCTAGCTAGGGATCATGGGAGTTGTAGTCCCAAAACATCTGGAGGGCCGAGTTTCCCTATGCCTGCCCTAGCCACTTCTTCCATGCCATTATAAACTTCTATCTTCTGAATGCTTCCTTGATTTCATTTTTCATCTCAGGATCTCCCTGAGTGTCTTGGTCAGGGGGGTGAGAAATCGGGTCCATTTCCTGGTGGGGCCAGGTTGCGGTCCAGCTGCCTAACCACTCACCTCAGCGTTGGGGCGGGACAACATCCCGCATCCCACTGGGGGAGACCCCGGCCACGTCAGGTTGCCAGGTGGCCAATCAGGTCACTTGGGGGCGTGGCCGGGGACGATTTAAGCCATGGCGTGATTCGGTGGCTTCCTCTTTCAGCCTCGCGCCTTTCTTCTAGGCTTCACATCAGGGCATCTGGTTGGCCACTGTGAGAACAGGATGCTGGGCCAGCAGCAGAGCGCTCATGCTCAGAGGGAGTGGGCCCCAAGGCATAAAAATCTAAGTACAAAAATGAACACCCATTCCACAGGTTGTCAAAAATCACTATCTTTAAAGCTTTGTCAGGTTTTCTCTGGGCTCATGTGCGAGGAAGGTTGCAAACTATGGGGAATTGCTCTTTTTTCCTGATAGAACGAGCATGAAGGTACTTACTCAACACTTACAACCACTGAATCAGATTGTTTGGCAAAGGAACGGCAGGCCCTTTCAGAGACTCCTGGAAAAAAGCACACATGACACACGGCCTGCTGTGAGCAATTATTTGTTACACTGCATTACAAAATTCCTTGGTCATTCACATTGAAATCACTGTGAGTTGAATCCAATATTACTTCTGCTGAAAGTAAACCTGCTGAAATTAACAGATATGATTAATTCTGGCATGGTAATTAATTTTTTACGTCACAAAATGTATATAACACTTTGTTATGTACTGAAGTTCTCACCCTGGGCCAGCAGGGGGATACTGTAGATAGTTATGCAAATGAAGGATCGAAAGTGACGTTCAGTGATTGGATAGTTTGTATGCAAATGAAGGATCGAAAGTGACGTTCAGTGATTGGATAGTTTTAGAAAGTTGCTACAGTTACGTTGTTCTGGAGCTCTATATAAGCAGGCTGACTGAGCTCTTCAGTTCAGTTCTGTTCTGGCCTCTGAACAAACAAGAGCTGTTTGAAGAATCGTTGTGTCGTCTGATATGTTCGCCCACAACTTAACACACTTGATTGTGGATCTCCGCTGGAAAATCTACATTAGATTGAACCCTTTATAAATGGGGCGTCACTAGCTGAAAACAAGTATGTGGATTTTGTTCTCCCCTGTTATTTCTGATAATCTCTGGAAGTCCTTTCATAGAAGTCCCTTGAGGCATTATAAGGATTTATCACTGACCGAGATGTGAAGAATTACAACAGAACTCAGTACCATTTCCTGCAATCCTATCTTGCCATGTTCATTGAACTTAAATTGCCTACAGTTTGGAAACTGCAGCTGCTGGAGAATTCAGCAGCCCATTTGCTCAAGGCCACAAGACGGGTTGAGCATATAACGCCAATCCTGGCCCGACTGCATTGGCTGCCAATTGGTTTCCAGGCCCAATCCAAAGTGCTGCTTTTGACCTATAAAGATTTAAATGGCTCAATACCACAATACCTCAAGGACCACCTCACCCCATATGAACCAGTCTTGACCCTGCAATCATCATCTGAGGCCCTTCTTCATGTGTCTCCTCTGTGAGAGGCCCAGAGGGCACCAACAGGAGAAGGGGCCTTTTCTGTGGTGGCTCCCCATTTGTGGAATGCTGTCCCCAGGGAGACTCACTTGGCACTTTTATTACATATGTTTAGGTGCCAGGCAAAAGCATTCCTCTTCTCTCAAACCTTTGGCTAATTAAACAATCTACATCCTTGTAAACTGTCTGTTGAGAAGGGTTTGTTATTGTTTCTTATTATGGCATGCAAGGCAGTATAGAAAAAGAAATATAATCAGTGCTCTTTTCTGGGGGTACACAGAATATCCCTAAACATTTTTGTGAATCTTTGTACTTTTATCCATTTGCTGTATTTATTTTCCCCGCTTTGAACTATAAAATGGTGATTTTCTTGAGTCAAATGAGAGTACCCCTAACCATTTTTTTCAGAAAAAAGCACTGAATAATAATAATAATAATAATAATAATAATAATAATAATGGGGTAGCAGAAACCAACCTCCACCCCTCCATAGCAAACATTTCAGGAACTTTACATTACAGCAGCACCCCAGATTCTCCTCAAAGAACATCATGAACCATTTCAAAAACAATTCACAGAACTTACGGACGCTTCCAAATAGTCCAACACCTGGATGAATGAAGATGATTCCTTTCCTGTTCCCAGCAAGTGTCCTGGGCCAGAACACCCTCACCGGCACCCCATCGAAAACCAGGTCTTTTATTATCAAGTTTGAGTCCTTCATTAATGGTGTTAACCGGCCCATGGACCTCATAATGGAATATCTATGGCAGATGCCCAGTCTTTCCACAAGTCTGACCTGTTTAATCCAAAACATTTAGCATTTATAATCAGCATTACATAATTTCTATCTCTCTCTCTCTTTCTCTCTGGCATATGTCTGTTGCCTGTGGGATGGAACCCAGGCATATGAGGCGACTAAACTGTATATCCTTTCCTTCCTCTTTGGATGGAAAATGGTTCACCCTGAGCAGCACAGAAGTGAAGACCCTGCCCACTCCCCTTTCCTTGTATGCTTCTTGTTGAAGTCCTTAAGAATCACATGGAATGGGTGGTATTCAGTGCGAGTATTACTCAGAATCAATACATTGGAGTGGATAAGAACCTAAGCAGAGCCCGGTGGATTAGGACAATGGCCAATCTAGTCCAGCATCTCACAGTGGCCAATCAGGTGCCCCAATGGGAAACCCACAAACATGACCCAAGCACAGGAGCCTTCTCCCTTTCTATGTTTTCCAGGAACTTGTGTTTAGAAGCATTGCTATCTCCATCTCTAGAGCCAGAACATAGCGATGACCAGCCATGGCCTAATCCTCTTTGGAAGCTATTCAACTTGTTCAGCCATCACTGCCTCTTACATAGCTTCAATATGTTCATGAGAGTGTCATAAGAGAGGGAGGAAAACGTTTCTCTATCCACGTCCTCCATGTTATGTAAAATTTAATAAATTTCTATCATGTTGCCTCTTACTCGCCTTTCCTCTAAACTAAAATATTTCAAATGTTGCAGCCCTTTTTAGAGAGGTGTCCCTTCATCCCCATGATATATGTAAAATAAACTTACCAGTATTATGACATATCCCAGTGAGAAATCACCGAGTAGTACTAATGCACGGCAGTTCATTCCTCGAGGCAGGTGGGTCCTAGTAAGACGATAATAAGCTCCCCATGCAAACAGCAAGGAGTGAATGAAAATGGTCATATATAATATCTGCATCCACAGAGTTCCACCAAATGCCATTTCCCTTCAGCTCAGAAGCACAGAGACAAGGACTTCGCCTTAGCCAATGCTGGTGGGTTCTATAAGAGAACCACCTATGCCATGTGGGGAAAAACATCCTAGGCCAACCCACATAGTTCTCAGTAGAGAATAAAACAAATAGTTTAGTAATTTAGTAAAACACTGCAGCTCTCCTGGATTCCTAGAAGACACTGTTTTTCCTCACACAGGGTGTGGGTACACGTTGGTGGGTGTGAATTTGCCTATCTTCTCCTCCCAAGGAAAGTCGTAAATAGGAGTTCGCCTGCCCTCCCACACAAAATCATTGTGCCTCTTCCCTCCCTGAGGAGTTTATCAGGGATAATTAAAAGGGGCGGCACATCGATATAGGTGGGGCTGGCTGGCACGACACTGCAATGGCATCCTCCCAACAGGAGGGTCACTGCAACTTTCCAGAACAGTGTGGTGAGGAAAGAGGTTTGGCGCTGTGCAGGCTGACCAATGGGAGCCAATCCCACCCAGTCTATAGCTCTTGCAGAAATCAGTTTGCTGCTCATACAGCTCCACTTTCCATTTATATAGTTTATTTATTTATTTATTTATTTATTTATTTATTTATTTATTTATTTATTTATTTATTTAAGCTTCCTTTGCTTATACAGTTTATGGACATGAGTTAGCCATGCCCATTCTCGTCTGAACTGGATACAGCTCAATGGATGTGGAACACATTCTCAGGTTCTCTCTCTCTCTCTCTCTCTCTCTCTCTCTCTCTCTCTCTCTCTGTCCCAACAGTTGTTATTGGTACTAACTGAAGATTCCAGACCATTTCCAAATTCAACTCCATGCATAACATGTTGCAGTAATCCAAATGGAAGGTTGCAAGTGTTGATTTGTCCTCAAGATAATGCTGCAGGCCACCACCTAATGCCATGAAACCATAGGGTGGAGGTGATGAGCGCAAGGAAGGAAAGCCAACATTGCTGTGGGGGAAAGGGCACAGAAGAAGAGCTCCCTTGTGACAGGCCTTGCTTGAATCAGAGGGGATTGTTTTACTACCACTCTTCAATTTCAGTGTTTGGGGGAAGGAGAACTTTGGGCCCCTCAGTGTTCTTTGGGTCTCAACCATGGGTCCCTAGATGTTTTTGAACTACAACTCCCATCACCCTTGAGCACTGGCCATGCTGGGTAGCCATGATCTCCTTCTCGTACGTCTCCTGGATGGTGCCAACTCTTTCTCTTATGGGCTTTCTGTGAAGAGGAAATCCCCCTTCTGTCTTTACTATGAGGGAAGGAGTCTCTTGCCTCATTTACCCATGAGAAGAAGGAAAAACTCAGTTGACACAGAAAGGAGCATTACTCATCCACGTGTAGCATGTGGGTGAATGAGAAGTCCCTGCCTCAGAACACTGGGCCCTGTCAGAGAAGATGTCTGACCTGTCTCCTCCTGGGCGGCCATCTTGTTCTGGGGTGGCGGAAGCAACAGGCAAAGCCATCACAGCTATGACGCACCTCAGAAGGCAGGGATACCTAAGCATGGTTGAGGAGCCCCACTCGTGACACTTGGGGAAGGCAATATGGATTGTCCGCTGGGTCTGGACACTTCCAATAGGGAGCCCTCAGAATCCTGCCCCTCATGGTTTGCTGTATCTTGAAGAGCTAAAAATAGGACAGCTTGAGCTGCTGCCAGCCCGAGCCAGGGAAAGAGTTGTGCACACCTCATTCCCTCTACAGCATGTGCCTTTACAGCCTTCTTGACTGTTGAACCCACTATTGGTCTCGTCCACTCAATCTGCCAGAGGGGTTGAGACCCATTGGCTAACCTCACCTGGTTTAGCCTTTTCCCAGGGAGTGGTTGCTGTCACATGCTGACAACTTCTAGAAAACATTGCTGTGCAGGGTAGAGACCTAAAGTGGATAAACTACCCCAGAAGGAGCATGACATGTCCCCACCAGAGGTGTTAACCTTCCCCTAACACCCCATACACCAAATCTTTAGTACTTTATGCATATTTCAAACGAATAAATAAATGACACCCACCAAAGGCCAAAGGAAAAAGCCCAAAGTCTTCCAGGAATCCCACCCCATATTTGAAGTTTCTGTTTCTCAATGTATTTATTTTGCAAGAATAAAATTTTAAAAATTGGTGGCTCTGTTGTTGATTAGACTATGTTATGCCTTGGAATTTCATCAAATTCACAGATTTATTTCATTTTGACTTCAGAGCCACCATGGGCATTTCTGGCTCGCAGTCATAGCTGTCAACTTCTCCCTTTTCTTGCAAGGAATCCTATTCGGAATAAGGGAATTTTCCTTAAAAAGGGGGGAAAGTTGACAGCTATGCTCCCAGTTGCCATGGAAAGAATATGGCATGTCTTCCTGCGGAGATGAAATGCAAAATGTGAAGAGGCCCCAGATTCATCCTGCAAAATGCTGTAGACAATCTCTGACACCTCCAGTTACAGATCTCTTCACTACGTCCTATGTCACATAATGCAACTCCTTACTACAGCCCACTTGTTCAGCACCTGTCATCTCCTCCTCCACATGCTTAGTCAATCCTCCTTTTGGCAACAAAATACTTCCTTTTCATGCCCTGAATACTTGGCCTGCGGTACAAGTTGCAAGGGAATCCTTCCCACAAATCCCATCACAGCAACATGGTGGGCCCTCCATGCTGTGCCACTGAGCTACTTCCCAGCTCATCTTGACATTCCATAAGCACAAAAGGCAAAAGCAGAAAGGCAAAACTATTCAGGTTTGAGAGGCTGGAGTCGCTGTGCAAAGGAACCACTCCTTTTTTCTATCTACTGGCATTTTCAGTGTAAGCTGACAAGGAACAAGTGTCCTGCCCAAACTCCTCAACTGCAACCCCTGTCGTTGTGCACCCATGGCTTCCAGCAGCACTAAAGTGACTTCCCGGGAGCGCAAGCCTAGGCACTGTGTGTGGAGGTCCTGGGCTGCCCAGAAAACAAGATCCACCTCTCAGCCTTGCTCATATGGTCCAAAGGAAAGCAGAGCAATATGTTTGGCACCGGCATAGCAGCAGGAGTGGCTGGAAGGAGGCATACACATAGCTGTCAAGCGTCCCTTATTTGGCGGGACAGTCCCTCATCCCAGCGCCATGTCCCGCTGCTGTCCCGGATTGATAATGTCCCTTAAATTTCCCAGGTTTCAAAAGAAGCAGCTCCTCTCCCTCCCACCCTGCCGGCCAGGAAGGAGGGAGGCTCCAACTGTGTTGGGGGCGCGCGCCCATGCGCACTCCGGGAGCTTGGTGGCGGTGTGACACATCAGAGAGAGACCCTCTGCCGCCCCCTCTCTTTCGCAAGAGGTGAGCGCGGCTCCCCGCCATGTGACATTGCCTCTGCCCAGACAGGGCCTCTCTCTTCCCTGCTCCCATCCCCGTCCAGTATCTGGGCTGCGGGCGACTCGAGCCCCGCCCACTTGGCTGGGGCCTTGCGCCAGCTCTGCTGCTCTCCCCTCTGCTGCCCTCTCCTCTGCTGCTCGATGTCTGTGGTTTTTTGGGGGGCGGCGGTGGCGGTTCATTCACGGCCGTCGCTCTCCGTGATTGCTTTTGGGGGGGTTGAGGCTTGGAAACACTCCTCCCCCCGTCCCCGATCACATTTCCCGCGCGGCTTGCTTGTTGTGCCACGCTTTTTGCGCTGCTGGCATCCTGCCCTTCTCGTCATCCATCGCGGTTGGGGGAAAAAGAAAAGCGGAGATTGCGAGGAGGTGGGGATGACTGATATATATTTATGTGCTTTAAAATGAAATGAGAGCAGGCTTCCACGCAAAAGGTTAAACCCGCCACTTTCCCTCCACACACAAAGCGCAACTTTGGCAACGAGGAGTAGCAGAACTGTTGCTATTAGCTGAGCTCTTTGGGACCTGTGATCCCTTATTTTGGCTGCTGATCCCTTATTTTCGAGGCTGCTGGTCCCTTATTTTCAAATCTGTAAGTTGACAGCTATGGTCATGCAAGATGTACAAAACACTGCAACCTG